TCACTTACAAGGCCACCAAGTTCTCGCCACAGAGAACATGCCCACATTTAGTGCCCTATGCTGCAAAATGAAAGTACATTGGTGAAGGCAGTGCAGGTTTTTCAGGACATTGCAAGGATTCACTAACACTCAAGCATAGGCCTTTTGCCCCTAGGATGTATTTTGGCCACCCCTGCTTTTCTCCCAAATGACACAATTATACCAACAGGAAGGGAATCACGCCAGGAAGCTTCAGGATCAACAGTCTGCAAGTCAAGGGATTTAGTTTCACACTTTTGAATCATTTCAGCAGATATTGGTGAAGCATTCATTCTAGGCAGTGAGTAAATAAACACAACCAGTTAAAATATGAAGCGTGCCCATTCCCAGCATAGAGCCACTGAACAAATATGTTGGGCTTTGGGAATGTTCTGTTTGAATTTTTTTTCCCCCTCTTTTTTTTTTTCTTCTTTTTTCCACATTTGCAGTTGCTTTATCCAAGGGTAAGGTTTCTTTGGTCCTTAGAAAAGTAGGCAGAGCAGCCAGTGCTTTCCACAGCAGTGATGACACCACATTGTGAAATTCAGGGTTTTCATAATGTAATACCAATATATGCCCTTCAAGTGAATTACACTGTCAATTTTACATCGGGAATGTTCTGCATCATCACTATCAAATGATATAGTGTTAAATGTCTTTTGAATTGGATAATTTAGAAGGCTACAAAGTGAGTAATGTAACACTATTAAGGATTTCCTTGTTCAAAGAATATCATAAAGGCAACAAAAACAGAGCTCTCATTTAGACTCGGTGCTGTACTATATCATCATCACTTACTTGAAATGAGCATTCTCCAATTCTAAACTTCCAATGCATCACAGTAGAGCTTTACTTCACTGCAGATAATACATGTTTCCCCAGCAAGAAAACAGACAGAAAATCTAAGGAAATCCTGATTTCCTAGGAAAAAAAAAAAGCTAAAAAATCTTCCTGGGAGGAAAGATGATCAGTGGATAAGCCATCACTGTGGAGTCAGTGGGCCTAACCTTCCTGTCTGCTTTCTCCCATTAACCTATGGGCTGAAGGAGGTGGTTTTGCCAGTCTGGCTACAACATGGATGATATGCCAGCAGCTTTCTGTTACAGTTTGTACATGAAGAGATAAAAGTGGCAGAGCTAGTGCTGGCTCCCATCCAAAGAAGACACACAGAGTACATCCAAAGTAAACAACTCATGGTTAGATGGCAATGTTCTTGCCCTACCAAAGCCCCACCTGGAAAGAATAATACTAAGAACTAAGAAAAGAAAAATACTATCACTCTACAAAGCACAGCCAGTTTCTGATTTTAGTGTCCATATCAGCAGTCTCCTATCTTCTTCACAGGGAAAGGAAGGAAAAAAAAAAGCCTGAAAACAGAGGAACCTGTTTCTTAGGAAACTCATTGAGATCTCTCCTGCTAAGCTGCTTTCAAACATTTTACAGTGGAAATCCTTGCCTGTGCAAATGACCTATTCAAAGCCTATAAGCCTGTTCTCTAGCTAAGTTAACCAAACAGGACTTCATCACACTACACTTCATCTCCTACACTACGTGGTAGGAGACAAGAAAAAGATATCTACAGAGAGCAAGAATATTTAAAGAACACAAAGTGATCCAAACGTAAATTCATTTTTATCCTAACCTGGAATTCATTGGCTTTTATCACTGTGGCAAAGGTGTTTTCCATATTCCAGTTTCACTGGGAGTAAAGGGCTAAAGGAAAACCTGGTCCCTTTAAAAAAAATTATTTTTTCCTACAAAATCACTAATTACTGGCTTATATTTTCATCTTATAAAACATGAAAAAATACTTTTCTTTTACAAAAAATAATTCAGTTAAGATTTCTGAAGTTTTCTCTTGGAGAGAATCTTGCATATTAGCCAACAAGAGTTTCTTCTAAAAAAATGGAACTCCTCTCATTGTGACTATAAATACTCTGAAACTTGCAAACTCATTTAATAAAAAACTGTTTAAGATTAACAATTAATAAATTCTGCTGAACACTGAGTATTGAAGAATTGTCTCTTCATGGCCATTTTTTATATAACTGACAAGGTGCATCCTTTTAAAATGCTTCTAAAACGTTTTTATTTTTGGATCTCAGATAACTTTATAGTAAAATAATTAAAGAAAATTATTTCAAAATGAGGTAAAGACAACAAAATATGAACATTTACTTGGCAGTTAATACAATGCACAGTGCTACTAATAGGATTAATATTGGCAAGTTACTGGCACAGGTTAGAAATCCTGAAATACAATCTAAATCTCACTTGCCAGCTCTAGTAATAAATTACAGTATGGTCATTTTACCTTCCCAACAGTGATATTAGTATAAATCACCAAAAGCATATCTCTTTATCCATGGAAATGTCTTTATTCTTTCTATCAAAATCAGAAAGCAGTGGTTTGGTTTTTAGAGGTTTGATTTTTGGGGATTTTTTGGTTTTTGTTCATTTGTTGTTTTAGTTCTTTTTAGTTTAAAAAAAAACAAACCCACCTTTCCAAGCAAAATTTTCCAGAATTCATCTGATGAATATATACATATATATATACACACATGTAATAGTAATGGATGTCATGGCAATCACACCAGTCAACACAATGACTTGAGATATAGACAAAAAATTGCATCTTAATTTTAAATTCTTCAGAGTTTAGAAAGCTAAGAAACCTGTTCTCATCAATGTTTGCTATCAGTTTTTTCCCCTCTCCTTTCATTCCTTAGCAAAAACTTTTGAAGAGTTACTTCTGTGCATATTTCTGCTCTGAATTTCAGTTTGAGGACAAAGAAAGTAAATTGTAAAATAACTGTCACATTCACCCCATCTGAGTCATCATAATTCCCCCATTGACACAATGTTAACCAGTCATTTAGACATGTTCTAAACAATAAACACAGGAGAGAGCTCAGCTCACCAGTATTAGCCTACTGTGTGTATCAGCAGGAGCCATCTTGACTCACATGGCCACTTTTTGAGATGAACTTTGAATAAATGGGATTCCCCCCATAATTGATGGGGGGAAAGAAAACCAACCAAAAAAAAAACAAACAAACCAACCAACCAACCAAATAAACAAAAACCAAACAAACAAAAAACAAAACAACAAAACAAAAAAAAAAAAAAAAAAAAAAACAAAAACAAAGCACAAGAAATGAGGAAGAATAAACAAAAAAGTTGGAAGGTGCATTCCCTGCATGTACAAACACACACAGTTCTCAACACATAGTTTCTGCAGAAAAACCAATTTTAGATGAGTCCTCAGGCTGTTGCACCCGTTCCTACAGCCATGCTCGGCTGTGCAACAGCATTAAGTGTCTGTCACATGCTGTAACTGGTAGCGTGGAAAATGACATCTGCAAGCCCATCATAGCAGTCACAGCTCACCACTACCCCAACTATAACCAGGCCAGTGCCACCTGCCCCGCCATGCTCCGGCCAGCTGCCAGCCTTGCCACAGCCACCCCTCACTGTGCTGCCATACGCCACACTGGCATAGGGACGGGGCATCAAGCCTCCCTGGAACTGGTAACGTGTTTGGGCCACCTGACAGCAGGGCCAGTCCCTGAGGTTGTTCTCTGCTGAGTGATGAGGTTCAACAGGGCACTGATGGCCCTGCTGAGTGCCTCGTCTGCATCGTTTTAATTGAATGTGGCACCCACAAGGGACCTGCACTTGTGCCGCAGTCTCTGGTCCCAGCAAAACAATCATTTTAAAATAATTGCTGTGGCAGAGGGCTTGTGGGCACTGAGGGTAACCTGCCATGTGCTGCTTGAGGGGGAGGCAGAAAACACTGCAGTCAGGCATGCACAGCCTTCTCACCCTCCCACCAACTTCACCAAGACCAAACATTGCTGTGCAACTCTGGTTTACTTTTTTCATTACATTGAATGATTACAGGGATACTTTTTGCAGTGTTTCATATGCAGTGAAAGAGACTTGTTCTTAAAAAGCTTTCTTAAATAAAGACAAAGTGATCAATAATTATTTCAATTAAGTGGAAGTAGAGAAACCCAGGGCCACATCCTCAGCATTTGTCCACAGCACAACACTCACACTCAACCCGCAGCCTACAGACAAACCCAAAGTGGCTACATGAGAGCATAGGCACACCATACACTTCTCCAGCACCTCCAGACTCCCACAGGGCTGAGTACCCTCTTCAGGTTTTTACCTGAAAAGCTCAGGTAACTCAATACATCCTTGTCACTGTGACACAAAAGTCAACAGCATCTGTGTTCAAGGAGTTACTTCTGCATGATGGACCACTGTTTAAAGTGAGAAACAATGGTGGCTAACAGGACAGTACTGACAAGATTATCAGAAATCTCAAAGACTAATGTTAGAGGCTGGGAAGGAGAAATTAATGTAAGGGGGAGAAACCTCTTCTGCAACTTTGAAGAATTAAAATATGTATACACATATATATATAAATATATATGTATACACACATACATGCAGGTTTTGCTTGTGAGACGAGGCAATGGCACCTTCTGGAGGAAGCTTACTAGGGCCAAAAGAAGATACTCCTAGGCAGCTGGGAGCTTCATGAGAAAGAAGAGAGATTCTCTCACAGTAAAGGATCCATTTTACCAGAGCACAAGGCAGAAGACTTCCACACCTCCTGCCTCCTTTCTCTGTGCTGACAGAGTCTCTATGCATTTAATTCTTTTAATTTTTTCCACTTGTTTTTACAACAGATTTTTTCTAAATAATCCACAACACACACACATTTTTGAAGGAGGAAGCTGACCCTGTAATAGACAATTTTTTAAGCCCTAGGGTCAAGTTCTTAAAGTTACTTCAGATATTGCTTCAAAAAGGATACTGTATCAATCAACACAGAAGTATTCTTGAAGTTTTTTTATGAGTTTCCATCAATAATTTAAGTTTTATTATTATTGCTGTTGTTTGGCTTTCCTTGTTTCAATTACTCCGCGTTGCGGTATGATGTTTTAAGCGCCTCAAGTTATGTTTGCTTAATGTTGAGTCTCAAAACAAAATAAACACACCAATTAAAAATATTGCAACTACCAACATTACACATATTTTATTTTTGGAAAAACCCCAAATAGTAGAAACTTTCTTTATACCATATTACAAGCCCTAATCAATCCCCTGGGGCTCTAGAACATCCAATTTACTGTATTTTTTAGTTATTATTATTTTAGCTCAACAACCTCTCAATACCATAACGTACACATTCATTTCCCTAACCTGAAACAGAACAAAGTAGCCTCACCAGAGCTAACAGACATCACTTGCAAAATGACTGATAAAACCTCCTTTTTAAGTAGTTAGGTTCAACTTACAGCCACAAAACCTGATCCCCGTCCAACATAACAATGAAGCACAAGCTTTCAAATCAATAGGCGTACCTATTTTATTGGACAGGATATGAGTTGCAGCACCTTGCAGGACAGAGTGTATAACAAAGTGATTATATTCTCAAACAGTATACCATACGCACAGCTTTTTGCATAAGTTATTAGTTTACCCTTTATGAAAGCACAAAATGATGAAATTGCTTTTCCTTATTCTTGTGCCATTTCTGACAAGTGACCTGCATCAGGCACCATTCATGTTCACAAAAAGAAGAACAGAAGAGTATTTGTTTCAAATTCAAGTTTGACTCAAAAAGAGCATTAGGTGGGTTCTGGGTCTCTTCTGAGTAGGCTGAAGAGCCTGTAAAAGAGAAATGAGGTGGAAGCGGCTTGTGGTTGCTGCATGGGAATGGAAAACACAAGTAGCAGCTCTGAAAAGATTTCTCACTGAACCTTCCCACGAGATTAGGCTGGTCTTAGCTCCCCAGTCCTTGAGGTGTGGGGCAGCCCTAGGGGCTTCTGCATGCAGATTTAAACTAACAGCTGAGGCTGGTGATAACACCTCAGGTCCCCTGTCTATGAGATAAAGACCATCAAAGCCCAAAAGTGATTATACAGGGGGGTCATTTTGTGTGTTTGTTTGTTTGTTTGTTTAAGACTATCTTAAACTGTGAGTTCCATATAGGGATTTTCAATCATGCCTTTGCATTGAAGTTTTGGGGATCCTTTTGCGCAGCTATCTGTAATACTGGAGGTTTAACAGGAGATTCCTCAAGGAGAAACCCTATGGCAGCCCATTCCCACCTCCTCTTCAATGGCAGTGCTGCACGCTTTCTCCACATTTACCAAGTTTCTTATCAGAGCATCCTGCACTGATCACAGAAGATACTGCAACATTACATCCTAAGGAAAAAAAAAAAAAATAAGGAAAGAAAATCTAGAACAGAAAGCATTTTAGAGATTTAAAACTGTCAATTAAAGGAAACGGGAAGATATATATAGATATAGTCATTACCTTGTCCTCCTTTCATAATATTTTTTCCATAGGCTTTTTTATTGGCATCTGGTCAGCCTGTCATGACACAGTCCAATTAAAATTATATATTATCACAGGTACCCTTTCTCTGGTGCCAACATTCCCACTGGACAGATTCTTCTGACAGCACTTTGACGTCCACTACGCAGTGTTTTAATTTCCTGACAAATTTATCTTGTGTAATTTACCATCAGGGGTGTTCAATCTTACAATAATAAAAACTAGACAGCTTCATGTTTTCCATAGCATTTAAGGTATAGACTCTTTAATTTTTATTTAAACTTGTATTACAACCACGGATTCCTCTAATGTTGTCCTTTCCTGATCATGTTCAGAAGATATTACTGGTTTGTTCAATCATACAGATCTAAGAAAATAATCATTGTTTCAGTACCAAAAATCCAGCTTGTATCTTGCCTCCAATGTGCTGCAGCAAGAAACTGAAAGAAAGTGCCTGGTTTAAAATCTTGTAGCTCAAAAGAGATATGCACGTATCATAGAAGTAACATTTTCCCTGTTTTGCAGTGTGATGACAATCAGGCAGAGATTAATAAAGCAGAAAAAATAGATTACAGCATTTATAAAGCTCCACTCAAAATTTGTGATAGAGCAAAAAAAACTTGATAACCAAAGTAAGAGTTCAGTACTTTCACCAAAAAGCTCATTTGTCCTTTCATAAATGCCAAATAATGTTAGAAAAAAGCAAGTGACTTTCTCCTGACAATCATCTACAGTCAAAGTCCTAAATTCTAACCCTAAATTCTGTATTTTAGAAAATTAAAGAATTTCTATTTTCTGGAATTTCTTCAGAACCATTACATGAAGCTTGAAATATTTTTTGTTGAGCTCTAACTGAGCATTTCTGCTTCTCTTAACTGAGAAGGGTGCTTAGCATGTGGGATAAAGCACATTTTGAAACTAGTCAGAGGCAAAAGACAATGATGAATCCAAAAGAATCACCATGAGCTGCTGGGATGGCGATTCACAAAAGATGATGAGAGTCAGTGACTACAGTTCTGGGTATTGTTCTTCTCCCATCATGGTTATGTTTAATTTAAAGGCTCTTTAGCAGGAAATTTGCAAACTTACACAAGCTATCTGTGCTCCAAGAGGATCTTCTCTTACAGCTTCTGAGTGGCAAGTCTCATCTAAAACAAAAAGGCAATATGCCTAAGATCAGCTCCAAAAAACCTGAAGCTGGATTTTGCTTGTCTATGCAGAAATATACTGACATGTGCCTCTACATACCTTTATATTAACAGCAAGAAACAGCCACACAGTATGTTCTAAGGAATGTAATCTAAAGATGTCAGATCATGATATGCATACATTTCATTCACCATTAAAGATTTTACAGCCTGATTTGTGGAACATATTTACTCCACAGTGCTCTGCCTTCTACTACTGAAGAAGCTGTTTTAAGCTTCAGTGTCCATGACTGTATGCAACATACATATTCCTGTTACATAAACTACTAAACCTCAAGTGCTCTTCTGTTCCCATGAAACATATATAATTTACATACATCTGGCTAAATATAACACATTTAAACACCTTCAGTTTCCCTTTTTGAGGAGCACTTTACCATCTGACTGGGACAAATGTGTGAATTCATAGCCACCTCTGAATCAAAGCAGATATCTACAAGGCTTTCATCCTCTCAGTCCACCTGAATTTTATATGTATACTGGACCAAATACTGAATTGAATCAACTACTTCATTTCACATCAGATATCAAACATTTACCAGTTTTCAACTGCTACTTATCTTGTTTAAAATTAGAGGGTAAAGAATACATAAGCCCTTTACCAAATTTGTCAGTCTGTACGTAGCTCTCTACTCTTCAAATATCCTGATCTGAGCCTACAGGTACATGACGGATTTACATGCCTAGCAAAGCCACACCAAACCCAAACCATGTTTTCTCTCTTTTATGGAAAGAATTTTGCAAGCAAGGTGAAAAACAGTTTTAAGCAGTATTTTTACTGATTTTCCATTATAATTTTATGATGCTTATAAATTTATAATTCCATACACAAGCTTATTAAGGTTGAAGGCCTGTAGGAGATTGTTTCATGAGCAACAATTTTTTTTCTGAGCCTTGACTGGAATGATTATGAAGGATCCCAAGACATTTAATTCCTGTGTGGTAACAGCTGAGGCTGTCAGCAAGCCCTTATTTTGGACAGTATTCTAATAGCAAAACAAATACTTCTGGGGGCACCTATCGCTGGGTGTGGACACAAAAAAAATCCACAGATTCATCAATGGATTTAATTTCCTCAGCTCTGTGAGTTCAAGGCCTGATTCTTCTTTCCTACACATTAGTTTGCATCTTATTTACATTGGGACAAAGAGTTCATAGTTAGGCCATCTACATGAGATGATTGCTATTTTTTTACAATGTCTGTACCAGCCTGGACACTCCCTATTTAGCTGTATGTTCTCAAATTAGCTGAGTCATCTCAAAAAGAAAACCTCAGACCCTCTATATGTTACCTGGAGTTTAAATATGCCTGCAAATATCCTTGTGTTGCTCGTAGGTACAAGTAGAGGAAATTTTGAAGCTCCATCCCTTGGCACAGAAATGTTTTCTGCTTCACTGCATCCACCCCATACCCTGCCCACATCAACTGCAATCAGCCTGAGGCCCACTTGCCTTTGCACTCCCGTTATCCTGTCAGCCATAAGACAAGCAACCTGCTTCAAGACCTTGGCAAGTCACAGAGGCTGGTCTCTGTGACAGAAAACAAACCAAACCGAAAACCAGGGCTAGTACCCATGGGTTGCTGCAGGCATAGCAGACTCATGGAGCAAGTGCTTTAAACAGGCAGAGGAGCAGGTATGCACCGCCTGACCACAAATCACTTTCTCACAGCAAAAGCCAAAAAGGCACCTGACGAGACATTTGGGAATGACAGGGTCAGAGAAAAGGAGGTTTACAAAGGGAGCAAGTGTATGAAATGTAAACCACAGAGAAGGCTCTTCTACACTGAGAAGTATGTCAACAAGATGAGCAAATTCCAGACCTCCGAGAAGGTGCTGAAGATACAAGTCAAAGGGCAGGTGGCTGTACCCTAAGTTGGGAAGTATTTGAAGGAGAAAACCCCTAGTGATCAAGAGATCTGTGAGATCTGTGGCAGAATCAAAAACTACGATGAGGAAGGGAGGAAAGTTAAAGAAAAATAGTGGCATAAAAGCTAACTTCAGAATCACCGTTTCTTTTCATGCCCACTGTTAACTCTTTCCCAAGCTCCTACAGAGATACTTCAAAATTTTCTATTTTACTTTCAAGTACCTATATTTACAGTATTTGGATTTTCTTATCAACACTTTGTTTCTACAATTCCACTCATCTCTTCCACTATAATTTGCTCCTTTTACCCAGCCATGAGAGAAATAAATACAAATGAAAGCAAATAACAACATACCTTTCTGAATTTATTGCCTTCATTCAGTTTAGTCTAGTTCTATCCCTTTGTCTCTCCTTCATTCCCTATATATAACAACATACCCTTCCCCTCCCCCTATATTTTTTCTTTATTAGCTTCTACTTTATTTCTAATGCCTATTTATTTGCCTTTTTCAATAGCCAGAGCCTCCTTCCTAATTTTTGGTCATTCTAACCTTCTTTTTCTTTGCAGTTTGTAATACAAGCATGTACACATACACTACCTTCTACCCTTTCTATATTGCTGCCCCTCTACCAACATACAGTCACCATCTCCGCTCTGACTGCCTTGTCTCCATCCAACTCTCCTTCCCTTGCAGAGCCATGTCCACAGAGCGAGCCCCACCTCTGCTCTGGGCACCTGGCCTGAGCATCTCCCCTGGTTGTCTTGAAGTTATGTTACACAGACAAGAGAGGTTGAGAGAAGAAGGGATAGCTGGAAACTCATTAGGCTGCTGACTGCCTGTTGATCCTAGCTCCCACTCTTTCCAATGCAGAATAAATGGAAGGAGCAGCAAGTAAGCCATGCACATCACTGCACATCACCATGGGGGTTCATCCACCACCAGTAGCTGAGAGAGGCTTCAAAGTTTTAGAAAGCAAGAATAGCTAAATAGTAAATATGACTTTAGCTCAGATGAAAATATTGTTTTGGTTTGATTTAGAAGTAGGGGGAGAAGAATAAACAAGCTGGATGCACTCACATCATTATGAACCTAGATAAGCTGTAGTGTGTCCAGAGAAGTTACTCCAAATGGAGCACAACACTGTCAGGCGTCACAAAATTCTCCTTTTGTTAATGTACACCTTAAGGACGTGATTGTATGCAGGTGCACTGATGACAAATACACGTGCATTGAGACACAAGCTTTTGAGCATGCAGCCTGGCAACAGTTGAAACCATTAACATTCAGGAGCTGACTTGTGCAACATGGGAGAAAAAAAAGAGGCAACAAAAGAAACAACAAAATTCTCTCTTGACAGCGTCGTGACAGACTTCTTCACTTACAGACAGAGACATTTATAGAAAAATGATGTACTAATTAGCATTTCACTTTCCTTTGGCATTGTCACAAATTTAAATATACCCAAGATCTACATAATAATGAGAAACAGTTAATTCCTCTATTACAGGTAATTTTCCAGAGGATCACAGAAGTAATTTATTGCCTACTGTGAAAAATATATGGTAGTGGTGACAGCTAGTTGCTTTCCCACCTTCTTCTTCATCTACACATAATTTTCCTTCTACTTGCAAATTGGTGTTGCACATAATTCATGTGGCATTCATATGAGTCATGTAAGAAAAAAATGGTGTAATACAGCCAGTTAGCTAGGCCTCCTCTGAGTTTCCTCAGTACTGCACCCAGCTTCCCCCAGAAAAACAGCCCTTCTCCCTCCCTTCTCAATGTGCCAGACCTTGCATCAGTGCCTAATTTGAGGTAGGAATTACAGACAGGGAAAAAAATCGCACATGAATGAAGCTGGCTTGAACACATTTGCTCCTCCTTCCCAATATAAGGTTTTAGCCGCTCTGAACTTCTGGCTGCTAATATGTGACATTGTTATTTCTTTTACACTGTTGGAAGGCAAAATAGGTAGTAGGACAGAAAAGAAATATGAGGCCATAACCACAATGTCCTTACTTTACTACTATGCGTAGTTATATTTTCTTGATGAAATTCAACAAGGGCAAGTGTGGAGTCTTGCATCAGGGGAAGAACAACCCCATGTACCAGTACAGGCTGGGGGCTGACCTGATGGACAGTAGTGAAGGGGAAAGGGACTTGGGGGTCCTGGTGAATAGGAGGGTGACCATGAGCCAGCAATGTGCCCTTGTGGCCAAGAAGGCCAATGGCATCCTAGGGTGCATTAGAAAGGGTGTGGTTGGTAAGTCAAGAGAGGTTCTCCTTCCCCTCTACTCTGCCCTGGTGAGACCGCATCTGGAATATTGTGTCCAGTTCTGGGCCCCACAGTTCAAGAAGGACAGGGAACTGCTTGAAAGAGTCCAGAGCAGAGCTACAAAGATGATTAAGGGAGTGGAACATCTCTCCTATGAGGCGAGGCTGAGGGATCTGGGACTCTTTAGCTTGGAGAAGAAGAGACTGAGGGGTGACCTCATCAATGTTTACAAATATGTAAAGGGCGAGTGTCAGGATGATGGAGCTAGGTTTTTTTCAGTGATGTCCAGTGATAGGACAAGGGGCAACGGGTGTAAACTGGAGCATAGGAGGTTCCGTGTGAACATCAGGAAAAATGGCTTTACTGTGAGAGTGACAGATCACTGGAACGGGTTGCCCAGGGGGGCTGTGGAGTCTCATACGTTGGAGATATTCAATGCCCGCCTGGACAAGTTCCTGTGTGATGTACTCTAGGTTACCCTGCTCTTGCAGGGGGGTTGGACTAGATGATCTTTTGAGGTTCCTTCCAACCCTTGGGATTCTGTGATTCTTCTGTCTTGGTCCTTCTTAAAACTGCTTGCATTAGCAAAACCATCTTGTGGGAGTGGGAGAGAAAGTGTCCTCCTGCCTGTGGAAAATTCAGCCTAACTGCCAGGTGGGGAGCATGGGGTGGGATTATGGGAAGATTACCCAGGAGCTAATTTATTTTTCTTAGAGAGGACTTTGCTTTTTAATGATGAGAAATTTTCCTTTTCTTCTTTTTATATTTTTAATATTTCTGCCGGTTATAATATA